TCCCTGGGGACGTATATGAATACTCATATGTACACACATAAACAGAGGAGAGATCATCTTGCCTCCTATGATAGGCCAGATCCTTGAGGCACTGGTGGGCCACCAGTCACTCTACTGGTATGACTGGCAGCCTTCTTGGCCTTCTTGGGTCTACAAGAGACTAACTAGAAGGAGAGCTTCTGGCCTCTGTTATTCATCTCTCTTCAGCCCTACATCTCACTCCTGGCTCCTGAGAGGCTCTGGAATTCAGCAGGCACTGAGAGGCTATGACCACTCATCAGGCACTTGCCACTTACTTACTCCTTACAACCTCTCAAGGAAGGATGAGCCACTGGCCTCATTTTACAGGTTTATTGCCTGTGATTCAGAAGGTGACCTCACCCATTAAGAGGCAGAACCATTGTTCCAACCAGGGGATCTGACTCAGTCCAGTGGCACAACTATGGACCTCTGGTGGGTTGGCCCTGGGTCTCAGCCCCTGGGGGGGTTTCAGGATGGGACAATAGGAAAGTCAGTGACCTTCTGGAGACTGTGTGAACAAGTCACACTTAGCTGGGCTGCTTCAGGCCACTCTTGCACACTGGTTGACTTCCTAAGCTATTGTATCTTTCCAACTTCCCCTGCAAGGCCCCCAGGGTTCTCCATGGAGTGGCTCTGTGGACTTTCCTGCAGTCCCCTGCTAGGCTTCTTAGACTCTTTCTTCTAGGACATCCTGGCCTCCTTCCTCCAGCCTGGAATGCCCTGCTTGCCATTCTGCACTGGCTGGGTGCATATTTATAAGTTTGCTTGTTTGTTTTTGAGATAGAGTCTCACTGTATAGCCCTGGACAGCTTGTAACTTACTTGGAACTCACTATGTAAACCAGGCAGACCTGAACTCAGAGATCTGCCTGCCTCTGCCTCCCAAGTAGTAGGACTAAAGGTGTGCGCTGCCACACCAGGATTTGTTTGTTTGTTTTGGATTTTTAAAGCGAGGCGTCGCTATGTAGTCCAGTTGCTCTCAATTTCAACCTTCTTGTCTTAGCCTTCTGAGTGCTTGGACTATGTTCTTGTTGTTATTATTATTTGGCTTTTTTGAGACAACATTTCTCTATGTAGCCCTCAGCATCCTGGAACTCACTCTGTAGACCAGTCTGGCCTCAAACCCAGAGATCTACCTGCTTCTGCCTCCCGAATGCTGGGATTAAAGGCGTGCACAGCTACATCACACCTGGCAGAATCCTCTTCCTCCTTACTATCCAGCTCCAGCCAGCCTCCAGGACTCGTCCCCATTGTCCCCCTTGACTCTCCAGCTCTTCACGCTTCTTTGCCTTACTTAAAGGATCGGGTGCACTCTGACTGCCCCTCTTCCAGAGTCCTTTCTCCCCTGACCCAGAAGTACCACAGAGACAGTGTGTGGCAGGTGCTAACACCTGAACATTCTGCAACTAAAAGACTATAGCTAGCATCTGTCCCACCTCCCACAGCACAGGTAGCTGCCCAGGCGCCACTCAGCTTGAGATAGACGACGACAGACAAGACTAAATGGCCCCCAGGAAGACTAAGCGTTGCCAGGAAGGCGCCGGACACTCCCTCTGGACAGGAAAATATTTTTGTTCTTCCTAATAACAGTCATTAAGGGGCCTGTGCCACACACACACTACAGCCACGGGCCGAGCTTCAGTCTGTCAAGTGGCTCCCAGCACCCTAGGCCAGCACCTTAAGGCCCAGCCCCAAGGCCAGTACCCACCTGTCTATCCTCCCGTTGCCCTTTACCCACTCAGGCCAAAGGCAGGAGCAGCTGTCTCACAGCCTTGGGGCCTAGGTTTGTAGGTTTGTTGTACACCCTACTATTATCAGGGTGTCAGGGATGCTCGGGACCCTTTTCCTTTCACCTCACCCTCTGACCCTGCCCTTATTCACTACGCCGCACACACACAACAGACACTGAAACAAAAACAAGCCACACAGTACAAAATTGAACACTCGGTAACCAAACAAATCTTCACACAGACATGCACAAGTAGGTACACATACCAGCATATGCTTTAAGACAAACACACAAGCCCACAGTATGCACACATACAGTCACAAACAGGTACAGTTCTGTGTGGGTATGCATATATTCTCACTAAGATGATAGGAAATTGCCAGCCTTCAGTATTTTTTTTTTTAATCTTACAAAAATAGAATCTAGCCAGGCGTGGTGATGTATACCTGTGATCCCAGAACTTGGGAAGCAGAGACAGGAGTTTCAGGAATGTAAGGTTATCCCAGGATAGGTAGTTTTGAGGACAGCCTGGGCTTGTTCACATATGATACTCAATATTCAGCCCGCATGCTACATCATGGATAAAACGAAAGCATCGTGCTAAGTGAAAAGAAGCTGTTCAAAGGAGGACAGATGCACCATGATTCCCCTAAAAGAAGTCCCCGAGGAAGTCCATGGAGACCAAAAGTAGAGTGGTGGCCGCAAGTGCTCAGTGGAGAGGGGGAAAAAGAAGTGTCTGTGAGTAGACTCTTGGGTTTGCAAGATGGCGAGCTCTGAGGTGGATGTAGTGATGGGTGTATTTAATGCCACTGAAGTGCACTGATGGAAAGGGTAAATGCTATGCGTATTTTTTAACACAATTAAAAGTAGGAAACAAGAGGCCAGTGAGATGCTCATCAGGTGAAGGTGCCTTGTTTCCAGACCTGATGACCTGAGCCCAATCCCCAGGATCCACATGGTAAAAGGCAAGAACCAGCTCCTGAAAGTTGTCCTCGGGCCTTCACACACGTTCTAGGGTGCACACACACCCACACAATAAACAAACAAACCAAATGCTTTAAAAAGTGGTAAACAAGACACAGCACTAAAAATGTGTGCCAGAGATAAACAGTGAACTCAGCAGCTCACCAGCCTCCCTGCCTCTGGGAGGCCTGAACAAATCTCCCCTCAAACCAATCTAGAGATAAGGTCGTAATGAGGGCTCTCTTATTCCTGCTGCCCCCACAGCTCATCACCCTCCCACGCTCTGACTTTGTTTACCCACTCTGGTAGCCTATCAACCCCCCAGGGAAGGGCCCCTTAGAGGACCCTGAACTTCGTCTCTACGCTGGCACCTGCGGTGAAATGAAAGCATTTCAGGTCTTAGACAATGGCTCCCCTACACCCTGGGCCTCTCTCCCCTCTGCCCCATAACATACCCATTCTTTCCATCGACTCCTCTCCACTCTAAGTTCTCTCTCAGAGGAGCATGTGATCTAAGTCTGGCCATAGAACAGATGAACCCAATTTGGTCATACTGGACTGGGTATCCCGATAAGGCTTTAGGGGACTTTGATTTCTCGACATCCTGTACTCATCGGATCTCACCCTGTACAGGAGAGTGATAAATATTCTCCTCTCCCCCCATTCTGCCACCATGTGCAGCTGCCAACTGATGAGCCCTTCTTAAGAGCAAAATTGCTTTCCCATCCTCTGAGGACAGCCCCACGAGTCCTGGAACCACGGACTGTGACTCTCATCGAGGCAGAACCTGCCCCGTTTCCTTCTGATCTTGCTGTGTGTCTGCCCAGACTCTGAAACTCAGCGCCAATGGACAAAGTCTGATTCTTACCAGGCCGGCAAACATCCCTGGAGCCCAGTGTGCTGGAGATGCAGCAATCTACCTTAGCCCACCATTCTTGGTGCACAGGCACAGCTGTTAAAAACGCTGGCTAAAAATGCAAGTTCCAAGCATGGCTGCTGATGTGGTTCAGTGGGTAAAGTGTTTGTCCAATGAATTCCTGAGTTAGAACCTCAGCACTTCATATACTGGGCATGGTGATGCACGCTGCAATCCCAATACTGGGGAGGTGGAGGCCAGAGGACCAGAAGTCCATTGTCATCCTTGGCTATATAGTGAGTTCAAGGTTAGCCTGGGCTACATGAGACTCTGTCTTTTTATTTTATATGTGTTTTTCCAGCATATCTGCATGCCTGGTTCCCACAGAGGTCATCAGAGAATGCTAGACCTCCTGGAACTGGGATGGTCATGAGCTTCTATGTGGGAAATGAACGCTGGTCTTCTGCAAGAGTAACAAGTGGCATTAACCTCAGAGCCAAGACTCCAGGCCCAGGGCTCCGACTTAACAAAAAAGGCACACCCAAACCCAGTACCATGCACAATGACTGTGTGATGATTTTAAAAAATTGTACTAATAATTTAAAAAAAAAAAAAAAAAAAAGGCAAGCTCTGCATTCTCTGCTAGAGTCTCAGAAGTTCTGGAATATTCAGCATGGGTGGAGCATAGAAGGTGTGTATTTTAACAGTTCTGGCTCTTCTTGGGGGATCAGAGTGAGGACTCCTAATCCAGGTCCTTGGAGGATGGGCTCAGAATTGGGTTGAGGATGTTGTTAGCACCATGGTTATGGCAGTAGAGAGGGGCATGATGGTTATGGCAGAGGCCGGGGAAGATGGGATGGGGGGGGGATGGGACAGATGCATGTTGATGTTCCTTGAGTTCTTATACATCATTCCACCCTCACTGGGGGCTCTAATATGCCTGTGAACCAAGGTATATACTCTACCTATGGTGGTATGTTTGGGGGTAATGGCCAGCCTCTATGTTAGGGTTGGCCTATGTTTGGTCAAATGCATGTATGAACCTATAATAACCTACATCTGCATGCTGGTCAGTTGTCTGCGTGTTAGCTGATTTGCTTGTGTGTCTTGAATCACTCATCTACTATGGTCTATGTGTGTGAATGTGAGTGTCCCTGAACACCCCCCCCCCATTGTGTGTGTGTGTGTGAGCGCTAAATTCGGCTGGTCGCTGAGAGTCAGGGTTGCAGCTGTGGCTGTATTCCCCTGTAAGGAGTCCCTGGAGAAGAGCCAGCAGCATGCTTTAAGGGCCTGGCACTGCCACTTCCCTGAGCAGGCGAGTCCCAACAGCAGACAGACAGGTGGGGCTGACCCGACAAGTTCTCAAGGCCAGGGGCAATGGGGCGGAGCATGGTTCCGACTTAGGGTGGCAACAGTTTGGGGGCCCTGCCACACACACCGGGCTGGCAAGCTGAAGGCAGTATCTTCTTCCTACAGCAGCCAAGCCAGGTGCAAGCCATGGAGCCTCGGGTGGCTAGGGCACTAAGTGAATGCACACATCGAGCAGCCTAGCGCCTGGAGGGACCCAGGGCATGGCAGGACCCCTGCGGAGCCGAGTGGAGGAGCTAAAGCGGCCCTGGTGGAGGGAGAGCTCCCCGCTGGTGCTCCAGCACAGCGAGGCTGCAAGACTTGCTACGGATGCCCTCCTAGAGAGGGGCGAGGCTGCCTACCTGCAGGTCGTGTCTGAAGAGCGGGAACTGCCTTTCCTGAGTGCCCTGGACGTGGACTACATGACCAGTCATGTGCGCGGGGTTCCCGAGCTCAAAGAGGCCCAGGGGTCAGAGACAGTAGGGCATGACCGCCTCAGCATGCTCTCCGAAGTTACCTCAGGCACCTACTTCCCCATGGCTTCTGACTTAGATCCCCCAGACCTGGACCTGGGCTGGCCCGAAGTGCCACAGGCCACAGGTTTCAGCCCCACCCAGGCGGTGGTTCATTTCCAGAGGGACAAGGGCAAGAGCATCAAGGACCTGCTGCGATTCCTCTTCAGCCAGGCCCACACGGTAAGGAGCTCACCTCTTCCTTCATTTCACAGAAGTGCTCACGGGGAAGTTTGAGCCACACAGACGCTGAAGTGGGGTACTGGGACTAGAGTCTCTGACCTCTGCTAGATCCCCAGCTGTTAGAGGATGGGTGGGAACTTTATTTTCTATTGGCACTCATGAACATTAATTAAGCAAAGAACAGGACATAGGGCTCTGGAACTTCACCCCTGGAAGTGCATGGGAAATTTTGGGGAGGAGTCCTTGTCTTTCTTGGGAGGGAGTCTATCGCCTTGATCAGATTCTCAAAAAAGTTTTTTTGTTGACGATTTATTTATTTATTTTAGAGACAGGATTTCTCTGTGGCACAGCCCTGGCTATCCTTGAACTAGCTCTGTAGACCAGGCTGGCCTCAAACTCACAGAGATCCATCTGCTTCTGCCTCTTGAGTGCTGGGATTAAAGGTGTGTACCACCATTACCCAGTTTAAGACTTGTTTTTATATTGTGTTCACGACTGTTTTGCCTGCCTGTATGTGTGTGCACCATGTGCACATCTGCAGTCAGTGAAGGCTAGAGGAAGGTTTCCAATCCCCTGCAACCAGAACTACATACTGTTGTGAGCTACCATATGTGCTGGGAATCGAACCTGGGTCCTCTGGAAGAGTAGCCAGTGCTTATTCTTAACTTCTGAAGTACTTCCCAGACCTTCAAAAAGTTTTATGCCTCCCCACCCCTAAAGACTAAGAATTCAACCATGGTGAACATTTGAGCTACAACCTTGACTTAGGAAGGAAGAAGTTGAGGCCAGAGAAGGGCTAGAAGGAAGTTACCTAGAGAGGTAGCCTGGATCGGGGGGGGGGGGGGGGGAGAAGTCTCTGTCTTTAACCCAGCATGGCTCAGTTTATCCCCAGCTGCCTATCAACCCCCAACAGCTGGGCCTGAAGCAAGGCTGTGAGCACATGAGTTTTGGCATAGGCAAAGCTCTTAGTTTGGCACTAAGGAGGACTGAAGAGTGGAAGCCACTGAGCTTGGGGGCACTAGGAAGGGGCAGTCACCCCTGGGAAGCCCCTAGCCTCATAGCAGTGTAGCTTCGCTGGTGGAGCCCTGGCTCCTACTCAGATGAGGGAGTAGATATGAAAACCCCTGGTAGGGTTTGAGATAAGGTTAGACTCCTGCTGCAGAGACCAAGAGCCAGGATCCCATCTGCACCTCCAAAGCCTCACTAGCAAGTTTGCCAGTGCCCTAGGCACAGGAGGGCTGAGCCTGATTGGGGTAATTAGCGAGGTTGTTGCTGTTGTCATCACTGTCCCCCTTTGATCTTTCAAGCCTGCTCCCCCCACACTGGCCAGACCTGTGCTGCCTACTGGAGAATCCCCAGTGCTCCTCCTGCTCACTTCCAATTAGACTTTTCTGCCCCTGGGCTAAGAGTCAGGCTACTGGGCCAGAGTGACCTTAGACGTGTTTTCTTTTCCCATAGCCCAGTGTTCTCTGTTTGCTAAGAAGGCAGCAGGAAAGGGGGAAGGCATGGTTATTGAGCTTCCAGGGTGTGTGCAGTCCAGCGTTTTCACATTTATCCCTTGTAACTGAGATACACTCCACTAGCAGACAAGGAAGCTGAGGCTCCCAAGGTGAGCCTAAGACCATCTACTTCTAGGAAGTAGAGGAATATGGATATGAAGCCACTTCCTTTGGGCTCCAAGCTGCAGTGGTAGTCTCTGTCCCTCCTGCTCCTAGGCCCTGTGAAGGACATCTCACAGTAGACACACACAGTGAGAAGAAGGGACATCTGCAGGCTGTGTATTGGAGGCACACACCTCAGCTCTCAAGTCAATGGGAAGCACTTAGCACAGGCGCAAGTAAAGGAGGCTGTGACTATAAGGTATCGCACCACATTTCTGCAGCCTCCAAAGCAACCGAGGTTTGGTAAAATACACAGAAATCCCCAGCACTGGATTGCAGCTTTCTCCCTTGTAGGAGAGCCTCAGACAGTCCCTAGACCAGAGCAGAGCTGTTGCCAGTACAGGGAACCAACCTGAAAACTGGGGTCTGCTTCTTCTGATTCCTGGCTTCTCCAATTCTCCAGAGAAGACCGTCAATTCTCCCTGTGCCCAAGCTAAGAACTCCAGGTTAAGGCAGACTCGGTGACACATTTCTCTAACCCCAGTGATCATGGGGCTCAGACCAGAGTGAACTCAAGGCCAGCTTCGATTAGTGGGTTACAGAATGAGACCCTATCCAAATAAAATAAAATCTGATTCCAGTGTTGCATCTTGGTTTCCAACCCCAAACTTTGCCTGGGGCTGAACTTTCCGTACCTCCTTCAGGTGGTGGCTGTGGTGATGGACGTATTCACTGACATGGAGCTTCTGTGTGACCTTATGGAGGCCTCCAGCCGACGAGGTGTCCCTGTCTACCTCCTCCTGGCTCAGGAGCACCTGAAGTACTTCCTGGAGATGTGTTATAAGATGGACCTCAATGGGGGGCACCTTGTGGTCAGTATGGGCTGAGAGCTTCAACCATGGGAAGAGGGGGGATTGTGAGTGTAGATGGGCCAGCTGGTGGTCAGTGAGCATGGTGGGGGGAGGTCAGCAGGAATGGAACACATGGTTCCTTTAACTGTGTGGGACTAGACTCCTTAGGTCACTGGCATAGCCTAAGCACCACTTTCTTCTTCTTTTTTTCAATTTGTCTTTATTATTTTAAATTATGGGTGTATATGTGTGAGTGTGGGTGCTCATGGAGACCAGCAGAGGGCGTCAGTCCGCCCTTGTGCAGGAGTCAGAGGGAGCGGTGAGCCACCTCACTGAAGAGCTGGGACTAGAACTCAGGTCCTCTCAAAGAGTGCCCTTAACTACTGAGCCATCTCTCCTGCCTGAGCTCCACTTCCTTAAGGTCACCCTCCCACCCATCTCCCTCTGCTCTTGGCCCAGAATATGCGTGTGCGGAGCACGTGCGGAGACACGTACTGCAGCAAGGCGGGTCGGCGATTTACCGGGCAGGCCCTGGAGAAGTTTGTCATCATTGACTGTGAGCAGGTGGTGGCAGGCAGTTACAGGTGAGGTGATTAAAGGGAGGGAAGCCTGGGGGCTGCTCCATGATCTAGTAAGGGCACCTCAGGTCTGCCCACTTTGAATTTCTTCCATCCATTCCTTCAAACATGTCCTGGGCACCTGCTGTGTGCTAGGGACCAGGCAGAGCAAGGGGCAGACGGGAGTCCGCTCTACTTAATGCCTTGGCACAGAAAGTAACTATTGCACATGGGAAATAGATTCTCACCCTTGACCCTGCTGAGCTCCGGACTCTGTGCTTTGACTCCTGACTCTAGCCCTCTGTCCCCAGCTTCACCTGGCTTTGCAGCCAGGCCCACACCAGCATGGTGCTGCAGCTGAGGGGCCACATTGTGGAAGACTTTGATCGGGAGTTCCGATGTCTATATGCCGAGTCACAGCCTGTGGAAGGCTTCTGCGGTAACGAGGATCCACTGTCTTCCCGGGTACCTCGTCCTCCCCCTGTGACCCTGGCCTTTGGACCTGGAATTCCAAGTGCTGCAGGCTCTTCACCCTCCAGTAACAGCCTCAGCAGTATCAAACATTCACCTTTTCTGGGCCGTTCTTCCTATCTCGCTCTACCAGGAGGTGGTGGCTGCAGTGACCTGGGGATGGGGTCCTCGTCCCCAGGTCCTGCCCTCCATGAAGCCGGTGGCCCACCATCCCTGTACCGTCAGCTTTCAGATCCTAACCATAGCTCAACTCCTGGACCCTACAGGGCCAACCTGAGCAAGCTGGGGGCATCTCCATGGTCCCAGTCCTCTCCTGCCCTCAACCACTGTAGTACCAGTCCCTTGACCCTGGCAGTGGGGTCACCTCTGCTCCCATGTTCCCGCCCCCTTCTCCACTTTACTAGGGGTGTCCCAGCACTGTCCCGGCTCCCAGAGAATGGGCTCCCAGCAAGTCAAGAGCCTGTCCTTCCACGAGGTCGCTGGGTACCTGGCACAGCTCTGGAGACAGTAGAAGAGAAGAAGGTATCTCTGAGCCAGAGTCATGACCACCTAGATCGAATTGTCCCCTTCCCTAAAGCAGGAGAAGCAGGAGGCCCCAGTTCTAGAGTTACCCCCAATTCAGGTTCCCTTCAGCATGGTGAGCAGGCCCTAGATGATAGGAGATTGTCCCTGAGCCACAGCTACAGCCAGCTGGATCTTCTGTCCCTGGGCCAGGGTGCCCTTGAGTCAGGCTCTCTCAGACCTGGTGATCTGAGTCTAGAGGACAGGAAACTGTCCTTAAACCACAGCCATGTCCAATTGGACCTCCTGCCACAAAACCCCAAGACCCAGGCCTCTAAAATACCCCCTAATGCCAATTCTTCAGCCAGGCCTGACAAGCAGAGTCTAGATGAACGACGGCAGACTCTAGGCCACAGTCAGCTGGACCTGATCACCAAGTTTGGCCCATTCCGGAGTGAGGGGCCTGGACCCAATGGTCCCCCAGAACCAAACCCAATTCATATGGCCAGAGTAGGCTCTGCAGATGAGAAGCGGCTGACTCTGGGCCACAGCAAACTGGACCTCATCACCAAGTATCATCAACTACATAGTGCCAGGCAGAGACCTGAGCCAGGCCTCCCAGGAGCTCCCATAAGTGGCCATCAAAATGGTAGTAGCAATGACCTATTTGCACCTGAGAAACGGCTGACCTTGGGCCACAGCAAACTGGACCTCATCACTAAGTACAACAAGTCCAAATTCAAGCAGCTCCGAAGTCGTTTTGAGTCCTAACTCTGCTCCTAGCAGGGACAGAGTCTCCCTCCATCCTCAGAGAGTTGACATGTTCAGGTCAGAGACCGTGGCATGAGAGTATAAGGCTGGGGTGCTGCATGAGGGAGGGAGGCATCTAGTAGCTCAGGTCAGATACTCGCTGGGCTCCAGACTTACACACACATGCGCAGGCATACATACAAACAGAACCCAGAGCTACTGAATGCTTTCTGTATGTCACTGGGGCTGGGCGCTGCACACCAGTTATTCTCGTTCTCCATATCCTCTAGATGGAGCTCTTATTGGCATATGGCTATATTAAGTATTATTCTTCACCCCTGGTTGTTTTGTTTTTGAAACAAGAACATTTACTTTATGGCTGATTGAAACCCTCAAGAATAACTGGATGCGCAACAGCTGCCCTCTTGGGCTTCAATGTTGTTGGGTTGTTTTGTTTTGTTTTGTTTTTTTCCGGAATCCATGTCTGAATCTGAAACAGACAATGTTTGGGTGCCTCATCCACCTAGTCCCAGCGGTGTTTCATCTCTTGGCCTTGGCACCCCATTACACTTTCTCTTGCACTGGTCAACCTCTGGAGGTGGTAGGCTTTAGAGCCACAGCGGTAGCACAATGTGTGCATCTTGTGACACCTTCCAAAGGATGACGTTTCTTTCCTCATGTTCTTTCTGCCCCAGAGGCCAAAGAGTCTGGAAGATATTCTTCCCATTTTTTATAAATGTGGGAGCTTAAGTCCAGAGTTTGGATGGTTAAGTTGGAGGCAGATCCAAGTAAATGACAGGGTAGGGAACTCTGCCAATCTAGTGACCCCTGGCTTTAAATATGTATTTTGTTTGTACATAAAATACAAACACTACAAGGATGCCCCGAGTGCCCATACAGTAGACACAGAACAGTGACTAGATATACCCATAGATTCACACAGTGAGTTCACATAGGTCTATGTGATTAACTCAAACAGAACTTTAGTTATAGGGACTCAGTCTTGTCTGCCTAAACGAATGGACACAGAAAATACATGCATTCAGTAAACACTGCAGAACCCCCTTGAGATTCACAAACTATAAATACACATATGGCCCCCATCCCAAGTCTGCTTATAAAGCCCTGACCTGAACATGCCTTAGAGCTGCAAGATTGCTTAGATGCAGACCCCAAGGGCTGCTGCTTAAATGCATAAACTACGGAAAATGAGGCAGAGCTGTATCAAATGGAAAAGTGTACTAGGGACGGAAGGTCATGGAGATGGTGGAGTGACCAGGAGAGTCTATCAGAGGGAAGCTGACTTTGAGGCAGCTCCTGAAGGATGAGGTTAGCGACAGAGCAGATGGAGAAGAGAGTTAGAGTAAGATGGAAAGAGGGCTCAATGAGCAAGTCTGGGGCGAGCTGGGGAAGATGGCAGAACCTGAGGATGGACACTTAGACACACATACACAAGCCACTTGCTGAATGTCTCTCGAAGCTCAGGCTGCAGCTGGCCATGGGGCTTTCTCCTGAACTCACCACCTGCCTGAGACAAGGCATGGTACAAATCAATAAAGGCAGATATGGTTAGAGCCAGTAGCAACCTGATGTCTTCTAAGTTGTGGGATTACAAGATGGGGTTGGATTCGCAGGGTTCCTTGGAGAAGAATGAAAGGCATAAAGAGGGTCTGAGAGGTAAGGGGGTCTTCCTTCTTTGCTGTGGCATTCTGAGACACCCTGAGCCAAGTTTACCTATGAAAAAGGGCTACACCACTATCCCCAGGACAGATGATGGCTGCTGGTGTGAGTGTGTGTGTGTGTGTGTGTGATATGTGTAAGAACACATCAAGGAAGCAAATCAGAACCCACCCTAGACCCCTTCTTTAGTCTCCCCAAACACCCAGCGTCACACATCTCCCTCTCTCTCCAATGTCTTCTTCAGCCTGTTTCTTACGGCTCTCAGCATGCCTCCTCCAACCACTTTATCTTGGTCTTGTTTCTCCCTACCGGACACTCTCCTGGGTGATCATTGCCCCAAATCGATCCTCAGCCCCTGCCTGTTGCATGTGCCCCAGACTGGCATTTCCATCAGCATGGCCAGGCTGGGATCATCTCCTTTCCCAAACCTGCCCCTTCTCTGGGCAGGGTTATTCGGTATTTATTATGTATTTATTCGGTAAATACGTCCTTAATCAATCCATCTTCAGCCAGACAGCACTGGCTACTCTTTCCCTCGACATTCTCATCTGCTCAGTCTCAGATCTAAAAAAAAAAAAAAAAAAAAAAAGACCCAATGGGGGGAGAAATCACCACGAAAGCAAGAAAAGGATCCGGAGGCGGGGTTGGGCGGGGCCGAGCCAAAGCGCTAGCAACCATAGAGTCCTCCCAAAGGGTGGGTTTAGAGAGGCCGCATGCTTGGCTTGGCTCCCGCGTGCTCCCGGAAGCCCGCTTGGGAGGAGGCGGAAACGGAAAGCTAGTTACGGGAGAAGTTGTTGCAGCGTGTGGACATTGGAGTCCTTCGGTGAGCTGGGGCGCAGGGCGGCCGGCGTCGATTCCCGGCCCCGAGGCGGGAGGGTTTGGGGCAGGAGAGCCAGGAGGGGTCCCGGGAGCGCGACCCGAGGTCCGGGAGGGCGGGGCCTGCGGGAGCGAGGTGGGTTGACCCGGCTCCTGAGAGGGTCCGTCGTCCCAGAACCCGCAGTCGCGCACCCCCAGGCTCCCATGGCGGTCAGAGCGTCGTTCGAGAACAACTGTGAGGTCGGTTGTTTTGCCAAGCTCACCAACACCTACTGCCTGGTGGCTATCGGAGGGTCAGAGAACTTCTACAGGTGAGGCCCGAGCTCCTGGTCCTGTGGTGGCTGGAAGGGAAGGGATGCCGAGAGCGGGAGGTCCGGCAGAGTGAGGGGCCCCAGTAACCAGTGACTCCATGTTTCCACAGTGTGTTCGAGGGCGAGCTCTCAGAAACCATCCCTGTGGTGCATGCATCCATCGCCGGCTGCCGAATCATCGGGCGCATGTGTGTAGGTAAGACAGGTGGAAGACGCCCAGGGGAATGAATCATTAACTCCTGGAGCTTACCCCAGTGATCTGGGGATCTCCAGGCTTGCGATCTCGGGATCTCCAGGCTTGCGATCTCGGTGGACTCCGGACTCTTTCAGGGGTGGGTGGGACTCAGTCTGACTGCAGACTTCCTGAGAATAGTCGTACCAAAGTAGCATTAAGTGCCTCCCTTCTTAGTCGCATTTTTTATCCACAGCGATGCTGGAAAGTAGGGATTACTCTAGTCTGTCTGTTGAGGAAGCTGACACTCAGAGCTATGTGACTCACTCACCAAGTTCCACTCCTAGATGACTGAATTTCATCTCTCCTGCCTTTGGTTATGGACAAGTTGCTTCATGTTTTTGAGCATTAATTTCTGCCTCATCGAAATAATTAAGATTCCCAGGTCATACTATTCAGCTACGTTTACATCTTACATTCTCTAACATCTCTTGAATGGAACCCTTACACTTTGACCTGTAAGCACTGTTGAATAGACTCCAACTTTCAGTTTTGGTTTTTGATCCTTCCATGGGAATGGCCTAGAACTCCTGATACTCCTGCATCCATTACCCAAGTTTTGGGATTAGCGTGTGTGTGCCAGCATGGATAAGCATTTAACCTGGCTCTGTGCCATTGGTGTCACACACACCCTTTTTTTTTGGGGGGGGGGTTTCTGCATGTTGGGATTATTCATACTTTTATGTACTTCAAAAAAATTTCTAAGCGTTAAGCATGTGTGATGACGCTACATCATTTCTTATTTGCTTCAGTACTCTGACCTATAATAATAAAAATCCTGACCTTTAACCGTGCTCTTCGGATATGAATCAAATTCTAACATGATAAGGGGAGATTTTTTAGCCTGGTCTTTGTTCTGTTTTAATGAAAAGTAACTTGAAGTTCAGAACTGTGGTTCTTAAGTCTAGGCAGAAGTCTTTGTAATGATAACAAGTATCTAGGTAATTTTTAGTTTGGTGTTTTAGGAATAGTTACTCTGTAAATATGAGCATATGTGTAAGTACTCTTTGGGCTATATAATACCTATGAATGGAATGAAATAGTCACAGGGTATGTGGCAGTTTAGTAGATGATGACGCCAGTAATTATCTGTGCTGGCCATTGTATGGTCCTGTCAGAGCATAGTTTTAGTTTGTTCCATGTATTATTGCTATCACTTGGTGATCTTTGAAAATGTTTAGCTATTCAGGTAGGTGTGTAATGTTAGCAAAATGTAATACCAAGTGCCTTCCTTGCTAGTCTTGACCTCCCCTGACTGCCAGTTGATAATGATGAGATAGGTGATGTCTGTTGGGATAGATTCCTGGCCATCTGAGGCCTGTTCAGGGGACCCATGGTTCATATATGGTCATATATGGATCTGCAGGTTAGGCCTTCGGCTTACAGCTCTCCTAGGAAAGCTAATTGGGCTAGAATGGGAGATATCCCAGGAAGCATTTCCTATGTTCATGGTTTATCTTTATCCCACCTTACAATTTTGCTCCCTCCAGGGAACAGGCATGGGCTATTGGTACCCAACAACACCACGGACCAGGAGCTGCAGCATATCCGCAACAGCCTTCCAGATTCGGTGCAGATACGGCGGGTGGAGGAGCGCCTCTCAGCCCTTGGCAATGTTACCACCTGCAATGACTATGTGGCCTTGGTCCACCCAGACTTGGACAGGGTGAGGTGGCAGCTTGGTCTGGAAGTTACAGGACTAGCCTAGCTAGTGGTTAACCATTATTCTCCCAAGGCAGGAATTGAGGTTTTCATTTGTGTATTTTCTTAGTTATCTCAGCATTCAAGTTTCTTACTCTCATAGGAATAGTAAGACCTTTGTGTGTCGTTATCAAGCTGGGGAGGGCATTAATTCTTCAGGATTGGGGAGATTGGCCTATTCAGTCTTGAGCCATGGGCTATGATGGTTGACAGTTGAGTAGGGTGTGTATTAGTGAAAGGGTGACATGGAGCCAAAACTCATGTTTTTCAGGGCTTGCTTAGGTTTTAGGGGCTCCAGGCTGAGCCTAGACTCTTAGTCACACCCAAGTCTTGCTCTGTGAGGCTTCCATGTGCAGATGTTTAGTAAAAAGGGACTCGGGAAACCGAGTCTGGGTTGCTTAGAGAACCCCTGGATACTTGGCCTACATGTTCTGGATCCTGGGCACAGTACCTTTGGCCAGCAGGAGACAGAAGAAATCCTGGCTGATGTGCTCAAGGTGGAGGTCTTCAGACAGACAGTTGCTGACCAGGTGTTAGTAGGGAGCTACTGTGTCTTCAGTAATCAAGGCGGTCTGGTGCACCCCAAGACTTCAATCGAGGACCAGGATGAGCTCTCATCCCTTCTTCAGGTTCCCCTTGTGGTAAGTACTCTGACTTCTGTCAGCTAGATGCAGTCCCTTACGTCAGTCCTTGGTAATCTGGATCATTACCTTCCTTAATTTGGGACTGGGGACCGGGCAGTGGTGGGGCACACCTTTGATCCCAGCACTGGGGAGGCAGAGGCAGTCATATCTTGAGTTCTAGACCAGCCTGGTTTACAAGAGCTCATTCCAGGACAGGCTCCATAGCCACAGAGAAACCCTGTCTCAGAAAACCAAAAAAAAAAAAAAAAAAAAAAAAAAAAAAAAAGGTATTGGGCTTTGAGACATGGAACAACTTTGGGAAAAGAGTGCTTACTTGAGGTAAGAGAATTTGCTTTTGGTGTCATGACTTATGCTGAGCTCACACCCTCTGCAGGCAGGCACTGTGAACCGAGGGAGCGAGGTGATTGCTGCTGGGATGGTAGTGAACGATTGGTGTGCTTTCTGTGGTCTGGACACAACCAGCACAGAGCTGTCAGTGGTGGAGAGCGTCTTCAAGCTAAATGAGGCCAAGCCTAGTACGATTGCCACCAGCATGCGGGACTCCCTCATTGACAGGTAACTTCCCCTGTTTTGTTTTTGTTTCTTGATACTCTTTTGTTTTGTTTTGAGACAGGGTTTCTTTGTGTAATCCTGGCTGTCCTGGAACTTGCTCTGTAGATCAGACTAGCCAGGAACTCAGAGATCTACACTGCCCCTGCCTCCCAAGTGCTAGGATTAAAGGCATGTGCCACCATGCCCGGCTCACTTTGTCTTTGAGGGGAGAGGAAGAAGATGCATTCTTGAAAACAGCCATGTTGTGTTTGGGAGTTTTCTCCAAATGTGAGAGTGTGTGTGCATACTGACTTAGAGCTACAAATATTCCTTGGCATCTGTTCATACTCAGTCTTTCTTGGACACTGGGCTTTCTATGCAGACCTTTCCTGTGGTCCATCTCACTTGATCACTGGCCATGTTTTGCAGTTTGTATTTGCCTGTGAGTGGTTGGCTAGGGAAGGTGAGAGGCTCCTCTTAATCACTGAGAGGACCCCAGATTGCTAAAGATGCTCTTAAGTAGGCTGCAGGTGTATTTTATATTGAAATCATGGTTTAAACCAGTGGTTTTTTGGGGTTGGTTTTTCTTTGTATGTTTGGGGTTGTGTTTTTCTTTTTTAATTTTTTATTATCTGTTGTTGTTGTTGCTTCTTGATATAGGGTTTCTCTGTGTAATAGTCCTGGGTGCCCCGGAACTTGCTCTATAGACCAGGCTGACCTTGAATGCACTGAGATTCACTTGCGTCTGCCTCCCAAGTACTGGGATTAAAGACTCGCAGTATTACCACATGGCTCTCATTACCGATGGTTGTGAGCTGGTGGCACTTGAATTCAGGACCTCTGGAAGAGCAGCCAGTGTTCTTAACCTCTGAGCCACCTCTCCAGGACAGACCAGTGGTTCTTAACCTGTGGGTCTCAACCCCTTTGGAGGTTGAATGACCCTTTCCCAGGGTTGTGTATCAGATATCTTATATATAAGATAATTGCATTATGATTCATAACAGTAGCAAAGGTACATTTCCGAAATAGTAACGAAAATAATTTTATGGTTTGGGGGGTCACTACAACATGGGGAATATTAAAGGGTCACGGCATTAGAGAGGTTGAGAACCACTGGTCTGGGCTTCTGTGGATTACAAAGCCAGCCTGGCTGGGTGTGGTTGCTCACTTTCATCACTCGGGAGGCTGGACCAAGACTTGACTCTTCTCTGGAAGAGCAGCAGGAGCAGATGCTGGGTAGTTTGGCCTCCTTCCTCTCAGACTGCTAGGGACCTTTCCTAAGTCATACCATGCTCAACTACACCTCTGTGAGGATAAAAACTCGAAAGTGACAAGAAAACAGACCCTTTGCTTACCATGGAAGGACTTTCCCTTTATCCTGTTGCCTTTGTTTGCCCTGATGCCCATGGACAAAGCTGCATGGGGTGAATCACGGAGTGTAGTTCTATATCCTGTCCCTGAGGGGTTCACAGTGTAGGTGGGAGATAAAGTTGCTGTACGCAACTTTTAGCTGTTAAATGAGAAACACACAGTTCCTTAACTGTCCCCATATGGGCAGCTGTGAAACTGGTGGGAAGTTTTGGGGGATTATAGAAGTTTCATGAGTGATATTTAGTCTGTTTCAGGGGATGAGGAGATGCTTACACATGGAGAAGAGAGTGAGGAAGACCCTCATACAGCTAGAGAGATGGGAAAACACTTAAGTATGTGAAGGATAAACGTTTTCCCAAGGCTGAGGGTTTTAAATTCCAGTATCAGGAAGTTTGGGTTGTTAGCCTGAGATTTTTGTTTGGGCTTTCATGGATGTTGGGTTGCTTGTTTATGTAAATTCTTAGTGTACTCTCTGAGGTTCTGACTGTAGGTATGGAATATGGCCCAACACTGTTTGATTCTTTAAAAGATGGTGTGTTGGTGAGTTGCTGTGACTAAAGGTGTGTGCCACCACACCTGGCTATGTGAGGACATTTTGGTACTCTTTGCTATCAGAGCTGGTGAACAATTGAGAGTTAATACACTCTAGGCAAACACTGTACTGTTGAGCTACATCCAGCCTGAGAAGTTGTTCAACAGCGTTTTACGTGCCAGACAGAATTAATGGGATCAGAACACACCCTGTCCTTTGTTTGGAACATGGAATTTTGTAAGGAGACAGTGACAGTCATTAAAGAACAAAAACTTAGTAACAACTGAAAAGAAGTTTCTGTAACTTAATAATTGATACCTATCAAAAAAACTACAGCAAATTGTTGTCAACTATAGAAACCATATTAAAGTGAAGCAGAGCAGCTAGCCATTGGTCAGTGTGTTCCTGGCAGTCCTTGTCTATGCTGTTAGACAATAGAAAGGAAAGGGTATGGAGAGGAAGGGAAACTTCATTAGTCAGTTTCCTTTGGTTTTTGGATATGGTTTTAGATACCTAAGACTTCACAATGAAGATGCCAGATTGGCATGGGGAGGTAGTAGTGAGTGGGTAAAGTCCTTGCTGTGCAAGCAGTATTCCCAGCACCCACATAAAATCTGGGTTCTGTGCCACATGTCTATAACTCCAGTACTAGGGCTCACTGGCCAGTCAGTCTAGCAGAAGTGATGAGCTCCAGGTTCATTGAGAAACCCTGTCTCAAAAAATAATTGGAGAAGCAGCTGTGAAAGACATGTGACATCAACCTCTGTGCATGCCTGCATATACAATAAATATTTCAGTCTCATTATCAGGAAGTGATTGCTACCTCCAATAAGAGTGATTTCACTTAATCCTTGTAGAGCAGATCTGTTTCCAGTCTAGTATCTGTGGCCTTTGCATCCTCTGTAATAGGGAGTTTTGGAAAAGGAGACCAAAGTTTTGGCCTCAGCCTGGCCTCTGAGATGCTAGTCTAGGTACATCTTGTTCTCACTGACCTTCCTTGCTTCTATCTCTTACGTTCAGAGCTTGAGGTCATGATCAGTAATTGAATAAATTGGAGGAAGGTGGCCCGATGAGGAAAGAATTGATTTTACTTTTCAAACATGGAGAGTTTTTAGGCTAGACCTTGGTATACAGGATTTAGTTAAACCCGGAACCTTGGTAGGGACAGGTGTGGTTCCAAGTGTGGCTTTTCAATTACTGAACTAGAACAGGTCTGTGGGTGGGGCAGCATGTATCCTGTAAAACAGCTACTGATAATACACTTTTCTCTCTGCAGCCTCACATGAGTCATCTTCCACGCTGTTGTGTGGGCTCCTGCCTCTGGACTTTGGCTTATTTTCCATGCCTGAGCTATGTACCAAGTGCTGGCAGCAGGGCATGGCAGAGAGCTTACCAGAGATGAATGGCTGAGTACCCAACCCTCCTTCACCTGTGCCATCTCCCGACTATTGTCATAGAAAGGCTTGCTGTGTCATGCTGCCTTTCTCTTGTGGCTCCAGGATGAGAGTCTGCTATCTTGTGACCACCCCATTAAAGAACTGCCTCCCACCACGCTCAGTGTGCTGCTCGCTCATTGTTTGGTACACCTTGCCCAGCTCTTCCCGGGGTCATGGGGAGGTCGGGTGGGATTGACATGCTTTCTTTGCCTCAGTGAGATGGGAGACCTAAGAGTGTGATGGGGCACACTTTTAGTCCCAGAGGAAAGGCAAGTGGATCTGTGAGATCCAGCCTGCCTGGCTACATGAGTTCTAGGACAAAGTATACACAGTGAAACCCCATCTAAGAAAAGGTGAACAAGAGGAAGTTGTGACGCCCTCTGGGATTACATTGTAACCCATCTTCTGCCATAGAATGAGAATCACTAATCTCCCTACGCGGGCGAACACCCTGTGAGGCCACAGGCACACAGTTTTAGTGTATTATATCCCTGTCTGACCTTGAGGAAGATGGAGTAGCTAGCTACCTTGGAGGCCAGGCCGCCTCCTGTGGTTGGCTCCAACAGGGCTCTGCTGGGCGTTGGGGCGGAGCCTTGGGGTCCTGGGCGTGGCTGGCCAGTCGCGCAACCTCTCCCGAGCTCAGTGGGCCCGCCCCTGGCGTGCGAAGGCTTTTCTAGGACTCCGCTGCGTCATAACGCTGCTCCTCCCAGGCCGGGCTCCCCAGGCTGCGCGCTTCGGGCACATCCGCTTTCACTTCGCTGCCTGAGGTGAGGGCCGGGTAGGGTGTTGGTGGTGGGTGGGGTGTTACCTGCTCTGGCCTGGTGCCTGATGGGCTTCTGTTACAGATCATGGGCGCTCTCCTGAGTGGTGGCCAGGAAGGCCCGGAGCCCGCGCAGCCCCAGCTTCCAGCGCCAGAGGGTCCGCAGCAGCCTCAGCCTGAGCCGGGCCCATGGGGACCGCTGGATGATGTGCGCTTTCTAATCGCCTGCACATCCTGGTACTGACCAGGTTACCCCTGGCCTCCGTGCCCTCTAGGGCCTGGCCTGGCTTTTGTCCCTCACCCCATGAATTCCTGTCTTCCTCATTCTGGGCAGAAATTCAAGAAAGATGGCACAGGGCGACTTCAGGGATCCGAAGGGAACCTCAGACGTGTTCTCCTCACCAGCCCCTAAACCAGATCACCCACCCCCAGCCCTTTTCCAGCTCTGTCCTGGGGCAGCCTTCCTGAACCAGAAGGACCAGGACCAGGTGCAGGTCTCCTGGCAGGAAGCTGCTGCAATTGAACTCTGGTCTCCCCCTCGATAGACCTGACTGAGCTGCTGCATGTGTCCCAGGTCATGGCCCTGTGTGCCTGGTCTCCAGAGAAGCTTGCAGTGACCCTCCCATACTCCTGACGTACCTGGGGGGGGGGCACATCTGATTGCTGGTTAGCAGATGCATGAGACAAGTGCAGAATACCCCAGCGCACCCTTTTCTCCCCGAAGCTTCTTAAGGGCACTTAGGCCCTGGTCTTTGTTCCCACACCCCAGGGAAAAGACACTGTATTTCTGTTTTATTTAGAAATGATTTAAAAAACATTATACAAAGGCTGATCAGTTTAAAATGTGACCGACACTGAGATGCTGTAATGTCACCCAGGCTGAGGGGAAGCTGAGCTCTGGGGGCCCGGTGCTTTGCCCCTCTGACTGCTCTGGCCTGGGGTGATGGACAAACAGATGACTGCAGGCAGAAGAATCCAAGATTGGAAGCCTCTAGGCTGAGCCCTCTGGGCCCGGCCCTGCATCCCACATATCTGCAGCCTGGGCTGCCTGCCGCCATCTCCTGCTCCTTCTCAACTGGTCTTGGAGAACCAGGAGCCAACAGGGAGCCTGCGGGGCCTAGAGCTTTCGGAAAGTGAGAGCACCAACCTGAGGAGACGACCAAGAGTTGGGGGAGGGAGGCCCAGAAGACAGGAATAGAAAAGACATTTATCTCAGACCCTGTAGGGCCCACAGATGGGAACACAGACCCAGCCAGGGCTGCTGGATGGCAGGGGCAGATAAGACCTCCCTGTGCTTCATCCAAGGGCAAGATGAGTGTTACCCTCAGCCTCTCAGGGCCTTCACGTGAGTGGGCAGGTGTGAGCTAATAAAGTGCTTCGCAAAGTATAAAACACTGTACAAACCTATGAATCACTAAATCTCTGCAGTTGTTCCCCGCCTGCCCCAGGGAGCCTGCCCTTGGCCGAAATGAGAAAAGACAGGATGATGGTGGTGGGACACAGTGGACCCATATAGATGCTTCTGGGACAGATTTTACTCAACAGCTCCCAGGGCAGCAGGAGCCCCTGTCTGTGCTACAGGGTAAGCTGACCCAAATCCCAGAGGCCACAGGGCAGGGCAAGGCCCATGCAGGCTCAGAGGGCAGGGTTGGTATTGGCGACCCACTAGCACCCTGAAGGTTGCCTCTTACTGCTTTTGGACTTCGGCAGAAAGCCAGTGAGCATCACTGAACCCATTGGTCTTGCCTAATGACAAGCATGGCTGCCAGACTGGAGCAAGTCAAGCTCAAACCTGGGAACTCCTGTCAGATGTGAAGAAGAATCAAGTTAAAAAACAAAACAAAAAGAAAAGTGGGGGGGGGGAGGGAGTGAGCAGGGTAGGAAGAAGGGCCCAGTGAGCTGGGCTGCCCCGGTTAAGACTGGAGCCCAAACACCACACCATCTCCAGGCCAAGAGATTGAGTCACCGGGGATGCGCATGGAGTATTTAAAAGGCTGCCCTGGTCCTTTACTCTGAGGCTATGACAATGGTGGCTCTAGAGCCATCTCTGCTTCACATAACTAGTCAGGCTGAGCCCCCACGCCACAAAAGACGGGCTGGAGCAGGGTGGGGGACAACATTCATGGAAGGGGAGTAGAGGATGGCCACAAACTTGGGTCTGCCTCCAGAACCAGGGTCAGCTCCTGCCCAGCTGTTGAGCCTCCTGAACAGGACCCCTGCTAGTATCAGGGCCTGCTAGAGTGGCCTTTGCAGCACCGTGGTCCTTAATACCTGGGGAAGGGCCATCACACTGGCCACATCACCAAGACAGTCACCTCTAATTGACCTAAAGCCTCAAGTAGCCTTTGCAAAATGGGACTTTAAAACAGTAGTGACAGGACATTTAAATATTCACGACATGACAGCAGGGTCCTTGTGAGACCCAGCTGGGCCACAGCCTTGCCTGCAGCATGTGACCCTAAATCCTGGGTCTCAGGGGAGACCTGACAAGTGGATCAGGTTTCCTGAGGAGTCTGCTATTGGCTAGCAGGGGAACCCAGGCTTTTGCCCACTGTGTTGGCAGCAGGGGCACGGCAGCCTTGGAGGATAGTGGGGTAAGGGTGAGGGGACATCTGACCAGCAGGTGTTGGCAGAGGGGACTGGGATTGGTGGCATCTCGGGGAAGGGGGGCGGTGAGAGCTAGTGCTGGCTTGCCTCAGAGGGCTGGGTCTCAGCCAGGCCTGGAGCTTCGGTACCTTGCAGTGACCTCAGGGGCACCTCCTGGCATGATCCTTGCCTCCTGACAGGGCCTGGCCTATTCCCTTGAGAGTGGTGTACCCAGACCAGAAGGCTGACAACTGGGTGCCAGCTACCCAACCTGGGGCACAGCCACCATCACTCCCTGCCCCCGCACTCAGCCTAGACCAATGCACCCACCACTTCAGCTACACACGAACCTGGCCTAGGGCCCTGCTGGCCTCGGTGGGCAGTGGCTAGAGCTGCCCCTCAGACCCTGGTGAGGAAGGGCCTGGCTGGCCAGACTGGGTAGACAGAGAGGTCTCTGGGCTGCTCATACCCACTCCTGGACTGGCCGCTTATAGTAGGTGACGGGCTGAGGACCCGCCTTGTTTTTGAACTGGAAGATAGTATAGAGCAGCACCAGGAGGCAGAGGGACAGGGTGCAGGGGACAACCACAGCCACGGCATTCACGGAGCCTGGCACATCATCGATGGTCACCATGATGTCCACATCATCCTGGGGCAGCCTCCGCTCCTTCCGCCGCTCTACCTCCTTCTGCTTGCAGCCCATCCAGTCACGCAGGATGTTGCGTGGGTAGCCTGGCTCCACACTCAGTTTCTGGTTGTCAAACTTCCAGTAGTCCCGGCCTTTGTAGAAGTAGGTGTAATCTGCAGAAATGGGAAGGACTCAGTACCACCACTCCCAGACGCCCCCTAGCACCTACTCTGGAGTGACATGGACTTAGGGTGATGTGCCAGTGTGCAAGAGAGAAGCTCCAAGTGGCAGGGTAGGTGGAGGGAGTGGCTTGCTGGAACGGAGGAAGCTGGGTGAACGCAGTGTCCCACTGATTGCACAGTAACTAACACAGCAGAGACGGGTCCCCAGGACACGGAGCAGCATCCCACCTGTTGGTTTAAAGGTGCTAGGAAACCACTAAGGGATTTTTGAGTAGACCTAGCAAATGCTTTAATTTATACTGCCTGGGCTGGATGATCCTTAGTCTGGAAACAGCTCTGTCACTCTGTGCCCCCAGGCTTCCTATACGGGTCAGATCAAGCCTCAGTTTAAGGGTTGTGCAGTGCAATCTCCACTGCTCTAGTGCCTCAGTCTAACTCTTGCCCCAAGCCAATGGGAACTGAGTAAAATTTCATGTCAGTGGCAGACACCATGGCTCCACAATTACAGATATATTTTGGGGGTGTGGGGAGGGTTTGACATATACCACTTTGTAACACAGATACAAGTTCTTAGGACATTCTAGTGGCTTTGATGGCTGGGAGGAAAGGAGGCAGGCAGCAGGCCAGGAAACTCCAATAACTCCCTAGGCATCTCCCTGAAGGCTCCAAGCAACAGCCTTAGCAACCCAGCCAGTCGACAGACAGCAAAGCAGCTCATTGAGACTCTCTTCATTGGCTGGCTCCCCAGGACTTTCATTGGTCAAAGTCTTTGATGTCACCTGTCTCTGAGGCTTGCTTTGTTGTGATGTTATTTTCTGTCACTGCACTGAGAACTGTGCAAGGCTCACTGTTTTTGTCCTGAACCCCTGCCACACAAACTGGCTCTCAGTAATTACCATGCAGCGAATGACAGTAGTCACCTTACACAACTGAAACACTAATGAGATGATAAGACAGCT